AAGTCGAAACGCTTTCTGCATATTACTTGCGTTGTCTCCGATTAATGTGAGAAATTTGTTTACTCCATATTCTAATAACACTTTTAAAATTATTTCACATATATAATTACTGGTGTGTCGATTTTCAGCTGTTGCAATGCTTTTCACAAAAACTGGTTCTGGTTTTGCAATTAACAAATTTATAATACCTTCATTTCTGCAATTTGACCAACCATCCAAAATTAAGTGCAGACATGGTTGTGATTTAATATTTTCTTTTAATTCACGATGCATTTCGTTATTAAGTTTTATCCAAAATTGAGGTAGAAATAGCTTTTCTAGTAGGCAACTTATATAGCGGCTGAAGAGCATTGAAAAAACTTATCCATAGCGGGTGTTCGACAATTGAAAGTGGTGTTCCTGAGACATAAATTGCTTTAGCTAGTAATGAATGTAGCTGGTCTTTGTTCAAACTTGGTGGCTGATCCAATGATGACCCACTATTGTCAGATGAAAAACTAGGTTGAGATTCAGGCATCCGATTTTCCTTATTTTGTGATTGCAAAATCGCTTGATCAGATACTTCTTCGTTCGAAATAGAGCTGTTCCTCAATTCTTCTTTGTAGTTTATAGGACACTGTGGACATTTCTGTAGATGCCTAGCCATTTTTTGCAAAGTGGCCACTTTGTATTTTTGCTCACAATACCTGCATGTAGCAGATTTGTTTTCAGTTTCTCTAAAATGTTTCCAAATTCTTTCATTCTTAGGTCTCACCATATTGTCCTGCAACAAGATAGTTTGACGATATATAATCATATTATAAAGTAGGTTTAGGACTGTAATGCTAAATCTCACAGGCTTTCTTTCAGATACCTTGCATTATTTTTCAAATACATACAGTGCTCGCCACGGATCTTTGATTGTGAAGTTAGCTGCGGAATGCGTATGCGCTGCGCGGCCGTATCTAGCCGGCTCCCCGCCAGCGCCATTTGTACCGTTATTGATTCATTGCGCATTTATTTGCTGCTTACTTCACAAACACAAAGATCCGTGGCGGGCACTGTTTGAAGTACTAAGAGAGACTAAAACAAAATGGCGGCCGGGAGCCGTAAATGTGAACGCGGATCCAGAAAAATAACAAATACGTAAAAAGTAAGACCCATCAAGTTTCAATCTGAGAAATATATTAAATAATGTGCGTTTCTATCTAAAAATTCTCTATGGTTATTATCCTGACATTAACAACAATAAATAACTATTAATTAAGGTTGTTATAAAATTACCACGTGCCCAATTCAAGAACATAGCGCATGACGTCATATTCACATGCGCTTGTTAAGAGGAAGTACGATCTTCCTGCGATCGAGGGATATGTTTCAAAGAGTTTAAGGACTAATTTAATATTTCTTTTACATAGCTCCCAATATTTAGACGCATTGGTTAAAAAAAAAATATGCAAGTACATTGTTACCGCATTTGGTTAGTCACACTTCTTTAAATATTAAAATCAGTTTTAAATTAAATAGTATATATTATGGAATAATAAGAAATAGGTAAATTCAATATAATAACAATGTAGTACGCAATGATTTGAACTTAGTGAGTAACAATTTAAGTACTTACCGATTGGTAAACTTTGATATCCAGCAAGCAAATCGTAGTCAGTGTATTCGAGCCAAGGTCAATCAGGTGAAAAGCAGGATCAGGTCACAGTAAAACAGTATCGGGTCGTCGTTAATAAAAACACAAAATCACGGCACGAGCTCACAAACCAACCGCCTAACTAAACACGAGTGTAAAGCATGAGGCAGACTAATCGAAGCGGGCGGGGTGCGGCAGGGGCTGCGGGGAGCGTTGCGTGTGCGCCACCCCTCCCACTCTTCTAAGCTTATCAACCTGGCGCGGCGGCGTAACCAGCACCACATATTTAATAAAGAATATTTACTTACAACTTACTTTTGTTTAAGAAAATATTTAATGTTTATATTCATTAATTGAGTTTTTTATTTAGTATTATGTTTTTTACTTTACGTTTATTTAAATTAGGTAAAAAACACAAACGAATTGATAAAATTTTGAAATCATTTGTTATCACCCACTATAACAACCCATGGGTGGATTGAAATGGGTTATTATTGGGTTTTAACCTACTAGTGGGTTATAACCCGGGTCAAAACCCATCTCTAGCTACATCATATATGCTATCTCGCTCTCACACCGGCACGTGTATTGCTAGTGACTCAGACGCAGCTCATGTCTCAACGCGTAAGTTTATCGATAAGTTTGTCAGCTATTGAAATTGAAAAAGTAAATAAAAACTATTTATTTCATCGTGTACAATAATAGATGTCATGAGTATACAACCAACAGTTTTTATTTGACTTCAAATATATCCTAATAAAATTGAAAAAACGCGAAAATTTGTATGTGTATTTGTTACTCTTTCACGCTAAAACGGTTAAACGGATTTGTATGAAATTAAGTGCGCATTTTTTATGACCTTGATAAAGACATAGAATTAACGACATTAAATACCCTAGATACACCACGAGCGCTCAAAATGTGTCCCAATCAAGAAGTGCTTGAACGCCACTCAAGCACTTAGTACACAGTCACACGCGGACCGTTGAAAAGTCAAGATGCCAAAGAGTTCCGTGAAAAAATACTAATATTACGTAAAGTGTCGTTTTTTCGACGGGTATCTAATTAATGTTTTTTAATTAACGCCTTTAAAGCAAATTTTATTGTTGTGATACTTATTATAAACTGATTTAATATAAAATATTTGTGATATTCAAATGCATGGTCGGTTATACGTCGACCTTAGCCATCTCTTTTCTTCGCGATTTGTGCCTGCTATATTGCTAACAGCGCATTCAGAATTGCGCGCGAAAAGTCAAAAAAAATAAGGTCTATATTCTTTCACACATAACAATAAATCGTAAAATTTTACGAACATGACGCATGCATCTCTTATCTATTAGACAAGTCCGTCCGTCCGTCCGTGGTGCTGTTTCAGCGGCCAAACCGTAAGAGATAGATAATGTTTAAGTTATAAGTTAAGAATAGTCTGATAAGACTACAAACCGGATGTGAGTAACGTAGCACTTCCGGTTTTCGAGAAATCACGTGATTTCTATTTCAAACGAAACCACACAAAATCTCCGAAGTTCTCAATTAATTAAATACATTTTTTTTTTTGGTGAACATTTGGTTCACTGGTTTGCTAGTTTTAATTAAGACCTTATGCCGTATGCATTAAAAGCGACTTTCAATGTTTAAATAAGGCATTATATTGTTTTTGACCACGCGATCATCCTCCGTGGATCGTCCAATGTACCTTTTGGACCCGTTTCGGCACGAACGATTTTGTTCGTGTTGTTGTATCTAGGGTAGTTAATATCGTTGCATTAATACTTCTTGTCCTGGACGTGTTTTTTTTTGTGTTGCTTATATATAATTTAGTATGTAGTTACTAGTCGCGTCATGTAATTAGAACGCTGGAAGAAAGTGGAGAGGGTATGATTTACGCATTTGCTTACACTCGCGCACCAAAGTACTAGGCCTCTATTCTAAATGGTTTATCGATAGAAAATATCGATATTTTCTAAAATCGATCTTACCCTCATCACTTCGCTGCACTGAGTATATGATCTGACCTTGACGCGTCCAATCACAACGGGGCTGACCTCCCTGCACCAATGATGTCAGACGTACCAACTTCTTGGTATACATACTAGTTTTTAGTGTCACGTACCATGTACCAAGGCTATTCAGTCCTTGTACGCAAAAATACCAAGATTGGTCGTTGACCGACAAAAATACACTGACAATATAGAATAATCGACAAATTTTAGAGATTCATGTAAAAAAAAAATCCAATCAATTGTACGTGCTTATAAACGATTAATATTCTTCAATTGATGAAAGAATCGAGTATATATAGTATATTTCTTGCGTGTGTTCGATAATCACTGCCCTCTATTAACGGTCTACGAAATTGAAATGTACATTTTTTTTACTGGGATGATGCGATTTCCCACACAGCTCCCAGAATTGGCAGCGCCGCAGAGCGGAGCACAGGCGTACTAGTTTCCCTGCTCGAATACCAGCTTTCAGCCAGCTCGGCACAAGGATTTCTAGGTGCCCATCTAACATCCCTGCCCTGCACCCCACCGACTGGCGATTTTGATTCCAAACAAAATTTGTGTGATGCGGACTCTAGTGGAGGTGCTCCATGATGTATGTCTACTGATCATCCGTAGATAAATATCTATTACGACATGGTGAGAATAGGGCAAAAAGGTTTTCCTTCGATAAAAGCCAGATCATTCGATATATATCGAAGGTGATATAATATCTATGCCGCGAGAATTGGGCCCCAGGTCCGGACTTTTAGACTATAGTCCGGATTTTTTAAACTCTTTGAATATGAATAAGAAAAGTACATATTGATTAAAACACCATACCATTGTAAATAAGTGAGTAATGGTACCATTTTGTGACTAAAATGTCCGGACTTTTTTCTAAATGTCAGGATTTTTGTCAGGACTTTTGAAATTCCTAAATGGTAATTCTTGTCACGACCATCAGCTGTTCCATAGCGTTTTGTGTATAATTATGTACTCAAACACTTATGTTTATTTTTATCTACGTTCCAACCGAGTCTTCTACTCCACTCACGTTTGCTTTTTCAGGGTTCCATACCGAAAGGATAAAAACCTATTACTAAGACACCACTGTCCGTCTGTCTATCTATCACCGGGCTGTATCTCGTGAACCGTGATAGCTAGATAGTTGAAATTTTCACAGATGTAGTATTTCTGTAAACATCAAATACTAAAAATATTATAAGATAAATATATACTTTAAGGTGTTTTAAAACAAGTGTTTTTTTGCTGCTTTTTACTCGATATTATATTATAGTGTCTACTGTTGTATAGATAATGTACGGAATCCGTCGTACCCGATCGCGACTCGCACTTGTACGGTTTTTTTATATTCTCATTCTATTTTATAGGCCGTATCATCAGTAGCGAAGCTCATGAAGAGCGGTTCTCTTAGCGCTGAAGCCATCAACGCTGGTAAAAACCAATTGAAGTTGCAAGTACTGAGCGAGGCCGAAGATGGTACATCACTAGCTGAATCTTTAGCTGCCCAAGGACTATACAAGGGCACTGCCAGATCACCGGCTGACATTGCCAGAGATATCGACCAAATCAATAGCAGTACTGTCAACCAGGTAGGAAAATAATTTCTCAGCAGCCTAATCTGCACTAATGTTATTATTGCGAAAGTGTATCGTATCTGTAAGGACTAGACAAGGGCACTGCCAGATCACTTGCTGACATTGCCAGAGTTATCGACCAAATCAATAGCAGTACTGTCAACCAGGTAGGAAAACCAATTTCAAATCACAGAATCCTAATCAATACTAATATTATAAAGAGGTAAAGTTTGTGGAAGGTAATCTCTGGACCTACTGAACCGAGATTGAAAATCCTTATACCCATAGAAAGCCACGTTATTTGTGTCATAGGCTATAATTATATTACCGAAAAATTAACAGACAAAGGCGGATTAAGTTGCAAGTACCTTCGCGGTAGGAATAACTAGTACAGGACCTTGCTGTGTTCTTAATCCATGGACCATGCTATACCTCTATATAACTATGGAAACCAGAAAATTAGGGTTGACTTGACTATGAATAGGATTAATACTTTAAATAGATAAAACAAAAGAGAAGAAATAGTTCAAGCTCCAATTTAATTCTCTAAAAGCAGTAAATATAGTACAGACTGCTCACATAAAGTTACAAAAAATCAAGCAACAATAAAAACAAGTTAGAAAATAATATAAAGCTTAGACAGTTTTGTGTCAAAAATTTCAGGGGGTCTAAAATAACGACATTTGTATGAAATATCTAAATAATACTTAATTTGGGTTTATTTGGCATTAATTCATTTGAAGCTTTGGGTTCATGTCTTGTAATTTGAAAAAAATAAACAAGTACAAATATGCAATCGTGATATTTAAGACCCCCTGACAATAGTAAAATTTGCCTTATAAAATATGTGAAATCTCAATTATAATTTGTCTTTACAGGTACTGGCTAACGCATCTAAATCCAAAATATCAATGGGAGCTGCTGGAAATCTTGCATTTGTCCCTTATGTTGATGAATTATAAATGCAAACAAATTAGTTTGTTTATTATTTTAATTTGTATATTCCATCAGACAAGTAATTACTCTAGAGTGATTTGTAATTTATTGTTTTGAAAAATAAAAAATAATCTATTGAAAAATCCATATCATAGTTTTATTTAAAGGAATGTTGGTGGTGAGAGTGGGTTCCTTTTGGATGCAGGATATTTATTATTAATAATTTACATTGTTTTGTATGAATATTTTTACTTAGTAATAGTAAATCATGTATTTTAAATTTCAGTTATTTTAAAAGTTTTATACTGAAACTTGAACTATTAATGATATACAATATATCATATAAATCAGAAGCCCAAGCACGAATTTTTGTCAGCTCCGCAACGTATCGTCATTATAAAATTTTGTATGGTAAAAGCTAGATTACCTAGGCTAGCATAATGCTAAACTAATGCATTTATCAGTAAGATCACAGTATGACATAGACAAAACAATTTTTTATCAACATATCTAGTCATCAGTGGTGTGGTTATTAAGAAAAGCAATGTAAACAACACCCATATTGTTGACAAAAAAGTTTAGTTTTATGTGCATTTCTGTGGATTCCCTGAAGATAAGTCAATACTTAATGCGTCTTTTTCCAATGGACATAAAGGAAAGTGACACCACCAAGTTTAATCAAACTTTTTATTCACTGACTTTCTGTGCTCTATTTATTACAAATATTGTTAAGTTGATTTTTAACTTTTTGTTGTATCAAACAACCTGTTAGCGTTGGTTTAAACTAGGGTTTTTACTTGGAAAATAGGGATGCGCAGGACTTACTTTGCCTCTTTGAGTATTTGGGATTTTTCATGTGCCAGCACAGAACATATAGTTGGTTCTATATCTGTTAATTATCGTGCCATTGACGCTACACTTACCACTTAACTGGAATAATGTCCAGTTTTTGAAGTGAAACTTCTTTATCGGCGTTGGAAAAAAATTTACCGTCACATTTTTATTCGGTTACGCGTCACGTTTTTTGGTTATGCGCCATCTTTTTTTTAAAAGAGCACTATTTACCTCATCCGAACAATTGCTTCTTCTGTCAACTTTAAAAAAAAAAGTATCGACAGCAAATATTCGTGTTCAAAGAGTACTTATATATACGTGTTTCACACAAGGTAAGGTAAGGTATAGTTATACCCCTTTAGTGGGTGAGTTTTTGAAAAATCTTAGCGCACGCCTATATATATATTTCTGGAAAGTTGCATGTAGATCATTTTTCGAAAAAAATAAGGCCATAAAGAAGTTTCACTTCTTACGTGTGTACACTAGTACACGCACACATTTTTTATTGTTGAGTGTTCTCTGGTTAATTTTCGACAGTTCACAGAAGTAATTCTAATGCAACTGCTATCAAAGAATCACTGACTAACTTCACTTAAAAAAATCTCCATAAATGTCACTCCATTCTGCTTGCATATTTGCCAATCAGATTTAAGTGTGAGGGAAAGGAGGAGGGATGGAATCAAACCATCATGCAATAAATAAAATTTATCTTCTTAGTCTTTAATTTTAATTAATATTGCTATTTGTCTCACTTCTCATTTTATTTTTGTATTTTACTCTATGAGTGGCATAAACACAACCAAAATATGATTTTTTATCAAGTATTCTATTCAAAACTGTTGATTATTATGATACAGGAATATCATATTGTGTTTTCATGATTTAAAAGAAAAACTACTATTACTATTTTATACACCCTGAAACTTATTTATCAACAAAACAAACAGTAATAAAACATCGTTTTTATATTCTCTAAAATAATTTATTGCACCTCTGCTTCTGTTAATAACATATTTGGGATGCCTTTGGAGATTGGAAATTGCCTTCCAGATTCGGGGCAAGTCAGATGGCCTTCCTCTATTTCTACTTCTAGTAATATTTTATGTGCTTTCTTAAGAAAATCCTCATTTTCTTCAAACTTAGGTTCAATACTTTTGGGTAGTCCTTCACTATGTCCAATACTATTTGCAGCATGCCATAACACCTCCCAATCCAGTTTTGGTATTACACGAGTAATAAATTCTGGATTAAAATCGACTTCAGTAATTTTCACATCAGTGGCATTGATAGCTAAAGGATACCCAGTCATAACTCCTTTTAAACACTTGGATGTTAACATGTTATGTGTTATAAGTTTCATTTTGATAATTTTATTATACAAATTTTAGGTTATGTCTATTTAATGTATCTAATGTATTGTAATTTGAAATTCACATTCCACTATTAATGCACTTAGTATATCTTCGTTTAATTTATATAATTAAACAGCATGAAAGTTTTTAAATCAAAATGCAAAAATTGTAATTTTATTTAGAATTCTGTAATCCACTGCTGCGTTTTTTTTTTATTTATTCATGACCTGGATACAGAGTCCTTCAGTCGAATACATTGTGGGTTACAAAATATTTTTAAATTAAAAATTAAGTAGATAAGTGTCCTTCAAAGGAGAGCAAGAATTGCAATACTTAAAATTACAAAAAATAACAATAGTTTTTTAAATTTTCAAATTTTGGTGTAAATGCTAATAATAATAAAGTTATATTTAAATGTAATTACAATCTAAGCAGTACAAATCAATTAAAACAGAAATATTTACACTTACAAAAATAGTTACAATGTATTCTTTAAACTAAATATTCTGTACAGTATTTTCTATTTATTTAAACAGTGGTTTAAGCCCGTCACAGACGTAGCTATAATATATATTAATATGAATCATAGCAAGACATATTACAACATATTTTCAATATAAATTTTCGAGTGACCGCACACGCAGCTATAATATATATTTCTATGACGTCACCAAAATATGTCGACAGATATATTTTGGCATATTAGTGTATATTTTGGTATATTAATATATATTTTGATATATTAATATATATTTTGATATATTTTTATGATACGGTATGTTTCATTTTTCACCGAACGCCTGCCAAAATATATATTATAGCCGTGCCCCGCGGTTTCACCCGCGTTTTTCTCGTTTCCGTGGAAATACTGAGATAAAATATGCAAGCAAGCACGCGTGGATTTCCTAAGCAGAGGTATTTTAGAAATGTATTTATTATACTCTTCAAAGATCTTATACTTACAATCATCAACAAATATATTTCGAAAAAGATTATTACAGGATTTTATGTTAATAAAAAACTGTATGGCCCATAACTCATTAATAGGTATCAACTCTTAACAACTCACACACGTGATAACTTTTAAACGAAATATCCGATTGAGATGAAACAAAAAGTATTTTAATTCTACATAAATACTCTTGATAACATAATGCTTAATTTCGATAAATATTAATATTACGATACATATTTAACGTAGTTTTTTTTCTTCAGACGATGTAATAATTATTTTGAACACAAAATCGGTTATTGTGATTAAACCATGATAGCTAGATATATGTTCTCGCAGACTTTTTTGTAGGTCTTAATGGGACCTACAAACCCGTAGTACATCATTTTGTTCTATTGTCAATAGTTTTTGCAGCGCACGCAAAAATAGGTTTTCGATTTTACACCTTGTGTTAAAAAATAGCTATTTTATTACGGATCCCTAATTTTGTAAGAAAAAAATATAGCCTATAGCCTTCCTCGATAAATGGAATACCCAACACTGAAAGAATCATTCAAATCGGACTAGTAGTTCCAGAGATTAGCGCGTTCAAACAAACAAACAAACTGCAGCTTTTTAATATTAGTATAGAAGTATAGATAGTACAGCTCCCGTCTGTGGTAGTTTGTATAATATAATATCTCGATATATAAATAAATATAGCTACGTCTGTGACGGGATATATTTTGGCATATTAATAGTATAATACGGAATGTTCAACTTCTATTTTTCGTTCCTGACAAGGCAACATGCATAATAATATCAAATTCAGCATCGGAATCATCCTCTGAGGAACTTTCAATTAAATCTAAAAGTAGTGCTCTTGTCGAATTCATTTCGGTAAGATCGATTATAACGTTATTTCAAAATTAAAACACCCTGTGCTAGAAAATAAGCTTTAAAACCGTGCGCTTGCAAAAACGACCGCAGACCGAGTGAGGGCAAAATATATATTATAGTATAGCTCCCGTCTGTGGTAGTTAGCTATAATATAATATATATTTCGATATATTAATATATATTATAGCTACGTCTGTGACGGGCTTTATAAAAGTCTGAATTGTTTAGTAATTCCTGAACGTGGCGGGGGAAACTGTTTTGACTTTGCTCACAGATGTCACTGATGTCATTGATGAAGATGAGCGAGTTTTTGGCGGGATTTCATCGAGTGCGGTTGGCGTCTTATTTTAATTATTCTTAAATTTGTTCATAGTGGATATTGTGAAATAAAATTGGTGTGATTTTGTGTTACAACCGTCTGCGCAACTGAAGAATTAGTGGAATCTTTAAAATATACGCTATTCCGGTCAAGTGGACGTGAGAATTTTATTGTAGTGTTGACTACCTCACAGAAGCTTATCGAAAAAGCCAACTCGATATATTTCGTGCCAAACACTCCAAGAAGCATTAGAATGCGTCACACCCACATTCTAATGTAAAAAAAGGAAGATTAATACAAAAATAAGACGATGGCTGCATGGCTATGCCTTTGCCTTTCTCAATAGAGAAGAATAGAACTAAAAAAAAAATGAAGATGAGCCGTTGAATAGTCTGTGCGTTGAATGTGGAAACTGGGACAGTTGAATATAATGTGCTGAAGATCTGCATTTTCTTGATTACAGTGGAGACATCTTGAGTGGTTATAAATATTTATTCTGTGCAGATGTGCTGGCATGAGGCAGTGTCCAAAGCGCATACGTGTAATAGTGGTAATGAATTTTCTGTTAGAGTACTTCACTCTGGAATACCATGGCATTGTAGGTAGGTGTTTTTGAATGTTTGCATACCATTTGCCTTTCGTCTGTAATGTATTTTGCCAGTAGGAATGCCAAAGCTGTCTTGAAATTTCTTTAAAGTGACTGTAGAAGTCTGTAAATGGAATGTTCAGTATGTGGGTATGATCTTCATCCTGCTCTATATGTGTGAGGCTATCTGCTATTTCATTACCTTCTATGCCACTGTGGGAGGGAACCCAAAGAAATTGTACTTCTATTCCTTTCCTATTTAGTTGTTCTATTAATTGAACTACATACATTACACAGTATATGACTTGTTTTATAAGATGAAATTCCATTAACTAAGGCAGATAATACACTTTTTGAATCGGTTACTGCTACAATATTTACATTATTTACAAGGTTATTAACATAAGTTAGAGCTTGCTGTATAGCATAGCTTTCTGCTGTAAATATACTACAGTGTTCATTAATTTTGATACATTTAGAGTAACCAGCCTGGGGATCATAATAGGCTGATTTGACATTATTATTGTCGTCATTATCAGTATAAATAAAGTAATAATTCATATAGCTGTGCTTAAATTCTAAAAAGTCGTTGTTATTAAAAATATTGTTCAAATGGTAATTAAGTGAATCAACATTTATTAAACTTTTAAATGGGCATGTATATATTGGCCACATTTCACTGTTATGAATTCCTTAACAGTTGTTTTTTACATGAGTGAATATTGTTATCATTTCAGGATTATTGAGCAGAGAATCAACAGTAATGTTTGGGGCTGCCATTGATTGTAAAAGTTGTGACATTTGATTGAACTTTTCTGTAAGGATATTATTAGAAGATAAAACCTTAAGATTGAATTTCATAGCTAATTGCAGTCGTCTCAAGAACAATGGAGGTATACATGTTTCAATTTCTAATGAATTTATAGGAGTAGATCTCATTGCTCCACAGATTAACCTCAGGCCTATATTTTGAATTATGTCTAACTTCTTAAGCAGTGTGCTACTGGCATTCTTATAAGCAAAACTGCTATAGTCAAAATGGCTACGGACTATGCTTTTGTACAGCATACTAATGGTCTGAGGATCTGAACCCCAAAAAGTTCCAGCTAAATATCTTAGAACAGTTACTGCTCTTAAAGCTTTTGTACTAATGTGATCAATATGTTTGTCAAATTTTAGCTGGTTATCAATGATGACTCCTAAAAATTTATGTTGACTGACAATAGGAATCTCTATAATATTGTATGAAATTTTTATATCACAATTAGTTTTACTGAAAATTAAAACAGAACTCTTTTCTGAACTTATATCTAATTTAAGCTTGTTGTTGTAATAGTATTGTAACTGCTCTAAGGCATTGTTAATGTTGTTTTGTGCAATATTTATATTTTGATTCGTACTGTACAAAAGCAAGTCATCAGCAAATTGCAATATATTCACATTTTCTGTATTTACATACTTTAAAATTTCCGAAGTATACAAGTTATATAATAAAGGAGATACAGTGGCTCCCTGCATTGTGCCCTCATTGGCAATCTTGGGACCATATAATTTATTATTGAATTTCACATACACTGTTCTTTTAGTTAGAAACTTATAGAGCCATTTTATTGTTTTTAGTGGTATATTACTGTTGTGCAATACTTGTACAAGAACTTCAATATTTACATTGTCGAAAGCACCCTTGACATCTAAGAAAACACAGATCATGTTAGAATGACTGAGTTTGACTTGTTTAATATCATGAACAAATGATACAAAGCTTTCAGAGCAACTCTTACCCTTTCTAAACCCATGTTGGATTGGAGGAATCAACTTGTTGGTTTCTGAAAAGTAATCTAGTCGGAACTTTAACATATTTTCAAATAATTTCCCTAAACAAGATGATAATGATATAGGTCTATAAGAGGAAGTAATACCATGTGTTTTATTTGGCTTTAAAATCGGAATTACACATTGTGTTTTCCAAGATTCTGGTATAATGCAATATTCCCAAAGTTTATTGTAGATGTTTAAAAGAATGTTAAGTGCATTAGGGTGTAACTTTTTAATTAACATATAAGGTATATTATCCAGTCCTGGTGTGGTATCTTTCCTACTTTTTAATGATTTGATAAGTTCAAAAATAGTATATGGTTCATTAAGAAATGTATGTACAGTGTTTTCCTCAGAGTGAAGCAAGTTTAAAAGTCTTTCCTCGTTGGTTTCAGTTGAGTCAGATAAATTATTTAAAAATTCTGGAACCCATTGATCATCGAAATGCTTGTTAGAGTTATCTACCCTTTTAAACTTTTTTATATAATTCCATATTCTGGAGACAGGTGTTAATCT